GGACCATGTCATGTGTTTTTGTGCCCAATCAAGTCTGTCACTTTTGTGCTTTAATGAAAGTGGTGGCATTACAGCTTTTTTTCTGAATTTTAACATTGGAGATTTATTTAAAACTCTCCACACTGTTGTGCTGCTACAAGGCAAGTCTAATTCTTGTTTTATTTTTCTTACTGATGTTTGTTTTGTGGAGCAAACCTTGATGATTTGTCTACAATCTCGAGGAGTAAGCTTGGGTTTTGGACCTGTCTTGAATGTTGGTACATCCTTGCCACGTCTTTTTGATAAATAATCACCAACAGTTGATTTTGGACGATTTATATATGCTGCAATTTCTCTTATTGACTTGCCTTGTGATTTATAGGCATCAATCTTCCATTTTTCATAATCAGATAAATTCTTTGTTCTACTCATTTTAGAACGTTGAACAATGTAAATAGTTTGTATTAAAATTATATATGTAAGCTAATTTGCATATTTCAATGCTTGAAACTAAACAATATTCTGTTTAAGTCATAAAATGAGTGCCTGTCCGGATAAATATGTAACAGTTTTTTTGTATAAGATTTTCAAAAATATTATTTTCAGTGACAAAATATTAATGTTTGATTAAAATTCTTATTTTGCAGTGTAGAAACATGTAAATCCATATTATTTTTAATAAAACATTTGTCGTTTAATGCAGCAAATTTGTGTTTCACTTTCATTTTTTCGTGTCCGTATAAATTTGAAACACACCTTATAAAGATTCCTAATGTGATAACTTCGGTCAATTAAATCGTGAGTCTTTTCGACTTCAAAATGACCTATAATGTTATTAACTATAAAATTTACTTCTTATTGTTAATTTTAAAGCTTTTCTAATGCACATAGAGGTGAGTAATACTTATGCCAAGCTATGGAGTCAGTCAAAAATCGTAATAAATAAATAAAAAGCAAAAATACTTAGTCTAATTATAACTTTAATCAACGAATGAACGAAGTTTACTAGGTTTCTACCAAGTTCCAGATGGCGATTTCAATCCAATATGCACATATATTTTTTAAAATCTTTCCGCTCTGTGGGCTTAAAGAGCCTCTTTTAGCCAGCCTATTATGGGTTCAGCCAGACCCACAGTGAAGCGGCCGGGTGGTGAGGGACGGGGTCCCACATATCCGAACGGACCATCCTCAAAAAATTCCTGGGGGATTTTTCGACCTGTGATTCGATACTGGGTCCAGAGGGTAGGCTGCCACCTCGACTGCTCGGCCATCCGCGCGCATATACTGGCTTCACTGGATTCTAGGAGCTGCTGCTCCAGTTTCATAGTTCCGCGATTGCCCGGTGTCCGTTAAATGACGTGTTTACCGCTATTTCTTTTTGAGACAAAACGGTAAGTGCGAGAATTCGGACAAAGAAATATTTGGAAGCGGTCGGAAGTTAGAAATACTTTACGCAGTAAACGGACGTATTTGACATTAATATTTAATTGGAATAGTCAATAAACGAGTTTTCAAAAGTGCTTAATTTATTGATCACTTGATCAGCATTCTTAATACTACACAATGAATAACACCGCGCTACTTATAGTATTTCTTTTTTGCTGCTCACTGAGTATTTCAAATTTTTTTGTAAACTTTTCTTAAACTTCTCTTAATTTCGCAAACTTATCGTTACCGACTTGTTCGGTTTAGTAGTACAAAACACAATATACAAAATGCAAGATCAGAGTTAAAAGGCGTAAGGAAAAAGCATACCGACCACGAGCAGATTTCGGGTATACGATTTAGAAGAGTTTTAAAAACCGAAAGAAATACTTTAAGTAACTCATTCTCTAGTATTATGGATTGAAATATATTTTCCCAACGCCTATCCAAATATCGCCCTCCGCCTTTGTTCCACTGCATGGCCCGGATCGAAGTACCACGTCCTTTCCGCCTACTGGTACTAGGCTTAAAAGAGCGTAAAAAATAGCTCGGTGCCGAACGCACCGTGGAAATTTCTTAAACTCGATCCTTTTCGGTACTAGAAACATAATAGAAACACGCTGCTTTATTTAACGAAGACCGTAGTTGTTTCGTAAGAAGTACTGTATATACTTCTTACGTTTAAAATCCGAAACAAATCTTTAGTTTGCCCCAAATCCCAGCCGCGTTCGGTATGGCAGAATTTTCACTAGCAATAAAACACGGAGATTGTAATCACCAATTTCCACGAAATTTTGTGGACGTGTAGTACTTACTAGTACTTAAACTCTAAGGCCAAGAACACATGCGTAAAACTTTGGCAGAGAACTAAATCAGAAATCAGCTTTCAGTTTTTATGCCAGAACACACATGTAAAAATTCTGGCCGAATAGGAAACAGAAAAGTAAGAACGACATATGTAGTTTAGTAAAATGGCGCCGTCGGTATCTGATGTTGTTATTTGATAATTGTATTCCACTCAATCATTGATTTTAAGAAATGATTTTATTAAAAAATGCCAAAAGTGACGCTGATGGTTAGGAAACTATTTCGAGAGCGTGATTTACATGGATTTAATAATTCGTTGATTCCGGAACTACAATTTAACGATAGAGAATACCATTACCACTAAGTGCTACATTTTATTAATTTTTTTTTCTCATATATCTATATCCCTTTATACTCTCCACTTTTTCTCCGCTGCCTCTGCTATAATTTAGAAAATTTAAATTAATAGACTTGTATTCCGAATTGAAATAAAGAACGATGTGATCTAGATACTATATATCGATTCTACTAGACCTACCTGTTATTTGAAATTTAGCACCTACGGCCGTCCATACACTTTGTTTAATTAAACACACTGTCTTTATACGTGACACTTTTTATGTTATAAAGACACTGATGTGATCGAACGGATTTCATCAACTCTTCTATTTCATTTATTTTTCTCTTTTTCGAGACCGTCACAAATTGTAGGGTAAACCCTCATTGCCGCCATTGTTAGAATAAAAACCACGTGTCTAATTTGACATCACAAAATACACTTCTCTTTATTAGAGGAATTTTGGCGTAAAAGGTATAGACATGGGGTGCGTTCGTTAATTAATAGCGGTCTCTCTGCGTCTCCGCTAATACGGGAGTGAGCTGCTGTTCGTAGGCATTTAGGAACGACGGTGAAAGAAAGATGGCGGCGCCCGCACTATCGATAGTATCGTGATTGAGGAAACTATAATTCTAAAATATGAGCTTTTAAAAGCAAAAAAAGAGTCTCGATTGTAAAATTTAACCATAAAATGGATTATTTGTTGAAAGAGCATTCAAAATAGCCACGAAAAAATTCGAAAAGACACTTACATCACCGCCTGCACTAACTTGCGCTTTCACAACTTCTAACTTTCATTCATAAAACCACATAATGGACCCCGAAATGAAACTATCTGAGTCCTAGAGGATGCCATGTTACTTTCCGTCGCAAACTACTGCTACAAGCAGCCGTTTTTGTCGTTCGATGGCGCGCATTCCCACCGGAATTTAGGAACGCGTTCCGCAGGAATTTTTTCACGGATGACGCTCGCGCGGAGTTACGCGGAGGAATAAAAAAACGCCCCATGCTCTACTCTTTTTTTTCAGTTGTTTCAATCAAAATTTCATAAAAAATTTTTACGCTGTTTTATGCTAAAATTTACGCATGTGTGTTCCTGGCCTAACAACGCCGCAGGACCCATTATTCGGGCATTCTCAAGCATATCACGATTAAACTTTTTCTATTACTATTAATATTAATGCAGAAGTGTCATTCACGTGTTCGTGGCGTGAAGATCGTTATTATGCGGATTCGAATCCTGTATGAGAATTTTTTTTTTACATTTATAATTTAATCTGATTGTTATTAAATTTGTTACGTACAATTTTTATACCATTTTTAATTACTGAATTTAAAATTTATTTTTCTTTATAAAATATCAGGAATTCAAAAATTATTTTTCAACAATTTAAAATTCTCATCGCAAAAAATATACATGCAATAAACACAATCACTGTTTCACAAGAATATGACAACATTTTTAATAGTATCTATCATAAAAATAGTTAATACAACGGTTTGGTGAACCGTGCACAAATAATCATTGCTACTTCATCCGCACAATCTTTACATTTTGTTTTAAGAACAGAGGGTGGAAAACAAACTTCGTTAACATTTCTTTCGCGTGTTGAAATGTAAACCATGCATATTTTAACATGTTACAAAAAACCTAGTTGTGAATTAGTGTATTTTAATAGCATCTTCACGATTAGCTATTTCTCTATTGGATTTCAGGAGATAGCTACAGTACACTAGTGCTAGTTGATGGCACAGGAATACCCATATCTTACCAACGAAATACAGTATAAGCAAAACCGTCTTCTGTAAAAATTTGTCTGGCACACTTAATGGTTTAGTTTGTACTGTCCGTCATTGAAGTCACTGCCGAACGAAAAGAGAATCCTAGCTGTCGACTTCCCTTTCTACACCAAAGGAACATACCCGATAAACTCCAGCGGCACTCTTGACCTCTCCGGTAAAACTGAACCATCCAGGCAGAAAACAAACGTCATCTAGTTTTCTGTTCTGATTAGCTTAGGCCTATCTACCTACTAATATATTATATACAGTATATATCAAGGCTAGGTAGAAACAAGCCGTTAAGTAAACGAGCGAACGAACGGCTTAACAACTTGCTATACTGGAATTACAACACTGTCTATCCTAATTAACATTTTACTAAAAAACTAAAGACGTATGCCTCATCCAGACAAAATACGAATATCCTCGCCATCTGCCATTTTTTCCCGACCGATTATCAAACTTCATCAAGTTCCGTCCATTCTTTCCATACATATCGATATTTTCATTTGACTTAAAATTCTTTTCTCCTCCAGTCAAAACAGTTACTTTCCGATTGGAAAAATATCGAGAAGACATATCACCGCGTGCACTAACTTGCGCTTTCACAACTTCTAAATTTTCATTAATACAGTAAAACCACATAACGGACTCCGAAACGAAACTATCTGTGCCACAGAGGACGCGATGTTGCTTTCCACTGTAAATTACTACAAACGGCCGTTTTTGTCGTTCGACAGCGCGCACTACGACCAGAATGTAGGAATGCGTTCCGCAGGAATTTTTAAACAGATGCCGCCGGCGCGGAGTTATGCGGAGGAATATAAGAACGCATCCAATCTCTGAGCCTCCGCAAACTAGATTATGCCGTGACGTCAGAGGAAATTTTTATACTCACGTGACTGTTTTGCATCGCCGGGCAGGCTAAGGCCCTAGATTACCCAGGTATGCTCACACGCTTCCGCCACGTGTGCAGCCATATTGGTCCTTTTGACGTCATATCCAAGGTGACAGCTTGCTAGCTTAGCATCGCCTGTTCGCATAGCATAGAAAATTAACAAAATGCCGTGTTGTTCGACTCCAAATTGTGCGAACAGTGATGGAAAAGGTTACCGAATGTTTCGATTCTCTGCCGATCAAAATAGAAGGTTTGGGTTGTTAAAACAAGGCGGGATAAGTGGCAACCAACATCGTCTTCTCGTTTGTGTGAGGTGAGCACTTAAATTTAACATTTTAACAGATTTGGTTTTTCTTATTGGACCTCAGGTTAGCAGACGATATTAAAATGGATATAAATGAAATTCAGAAGTTAAGAATATTTTTAACTTCTGAGAATAAGCTGTTTATTTGTTAATACACACTTACTAGTATCTGCAAGTATTAATTTGTAACCAAAGATTTGTCAGCGCATGTTTACTCTAAAGATGTTTCATAAAGCTGGAGAATTTTTATCTACAAAAAGCTTGATATTTTAATGTTTTTAGAAGAATGATATTTTAGTTAAGGTATTTTAATTCCTTATTTTATTATCAATTTAATGTAGATCCATTTTACCAAGGAGTAATTTGAAAATATAGTGTGGATGGGAAGAGAAAGTTAAGACCTGATGCTGTTCCAACACTATTTGGAAATAGCAATCAAAATCAAGTATCATGTGTTAAACGTTTAAAGGTGTGTGTTTCTGTTCTTAGCAATGAAACTTAAAAATAGGTTTCTGTTAATTTTTCAAACTACTTTTAAATAATCTTGTGTCTACTGCATAATTTATGCAATGTCCTCATACTAATATACAACATATAATCAACTTTTAAATACAATTTATGCTTGTTTATCAATCCAGGTCTATGAAGAAAGCAGAATTACAGTAGGAGTGGAAGAAATTAAAACAAAAGAAGAGCCACGTACAGTCAAAAAGCCATTTACACACGGCATCAAAACTAACAGTTCTAACTTGCAAGAGCAATACTGTAGATAATAGGCTTCATATATCCAAAGAAAATTTTCCTAATTCTGATGACATACAGTACTGTACATCCATCAACTAATTTGGACCAAACGGGTATGTACTGTAGCATGTAACTAAAAACTCAAATTGCAACTTAATAACTAATATATTTTTGTTTTCTTTAGATAATTTTATCGATACAACAAAAAACAGTTTTACAACTGATGCACATAAAAAGCTACAACAGCGCTTATAGAGACTAGAGAAAAAATTGCAAATGTTGAAACAAAAAAACTCGAATTTTCAACTTAAGTTGTGTCCACCCTGATGAAATTAGTTTGTGGTGGCTACCAAACAGTAATGATATGAAATGTAGATGATCTAACTAAAGCAGGACAAGATAGGAAGCTTTTGGAATATATATCATATGGGGAGTTAATATATCCCAGCATGAAAGTACTGGCCTGATGGCCGCGCGGTCAAGGTGGCAACCTACCGCTCTGGGTGACCCGGGTTCGAATCCGAACGGGTCGAAAAATCCCCAAGAATCTTTCGGGGGTGGTCCGTTCAGATATGTCGGGCCCGTCCCTCACCACCTGGCAGCCCCATTGTGAGCCTAACCGAACCCATAATGGGCTTGCAAAAAGAGGCCCTCTTATTGCCCACAGGGCGAAAAGAGTTTTAAAAAAAGCATGAAAGTACTGTATCTGATATTGTTAAGGCAGCAGATGCAGAAATTCAAATTGAATTACTCCAAAGAAAATATCACCCAGATGATAAATTTGTAAATATTGTCCTGAAATACTGCAAGACAACATTACCTTCATGTTGTGAGGTGATAAAAAAATAATATAGCATTTTGTTACTGTATTACAAAATCCAAAAATAAAACTTACTACACAAAAAGTGCATCAAAATAAATGTTTTCTTTACATCTGATTTTGTTTTTGTTATCTTTTGTTTTCTTTTATTCTAACTGGTCACAAGAAACACTTTGGGTTAAAAATCTAACAACACAATATGACAATATAGCAGTATTTAATAAAAGAAAAAAAAAAAAAAAACTGAAAGCAAAGACTGGTGCTTCCCTTGACTGTTTGAGATTCGAATTAGATCCCTGATTCAAATTAAAATTTATTTATTTATATTTATTATTAATAAAATGTATTTGTCAAATTACAAATTAACTTTAATTAATTTGTGATAAATACATTTTACACGCGCCAAATTTGCTAAGTTACTGTTGCACTTGGTTTTTCCAATTGATCTTGCGTTAATTTTTTTTCGCGTGTAATTTTTTTTTCCGATCTAAATTATACTTGTTTTAAAATTTGGCTGTATTTTATAACTGTAGTTGCATTAATTTTTGGCAAAGTTTATCATTTCGACCTTGCAAAATCTTAAGATACAGTTGAATTTATGATTATTTTCTTGTCGCTTCTATTGAACTTCTATGAGAGTCGTCTGCTTTGTAAGGACCAACATGGCGAATGAGCATACCTAGATTATCTAGCGCGTTAGGTCAGGAAGATTCTCCTCCTGTGATATCACTCGTGACGTACTGTACTTCTACAGAACCAACAAACATTTTATCTACCCCTCTACGAACTAATGCTCGGTAGTTTGTTTTGTAAAATGAGGACGACTCGCATCAACAAATGGAAACAGTCAAAGCCGATGTCTGTTATCTTCAGCTGCTTCCATTCATAGTCTATTTGTCAGATACTTAACAAAAATACGAAATCGGGCACCCGATAGATTTATAAATTTCGATAAAATCAATGAAATAATTTATATTCTTACTTCTATGAAAATCTATCAAATAGTTGTTTCGTAATTTCGGCGTAGCCAAAATGTGGCCAAAACTGGAAGCACAAACGCGCGCATTCTTTGTGGCCTAGAGCGCACGCTCCTTCCTGGCAAACTTTCAAATGCGCACCAGCGTGGTCTATGGCCGCCTAAAAAATGCAATTTCCTAGAGTGACTGGCGATCATAAGAATTTGCTTAGATATTGCCTTAATCTGTTTCACGGGGTCAGTCAAAGTGGCAAACTTGGCACGTGGTTCGACGATACTCGGGATTCGTCTAAGCTCCGCCCTTCCTAGTCAATTAGCGTCTGTGGAAAGCCAAGGCCTTGCCTAGTTTGCGGCGGTCCCAGTTCTGTAAAGTTTAATCTCGAACACGTATTTAAGGTTATACTTCGACTATACACCAGTATTCGTATCTTATTTATCGAACTTAATAAAATAAAAGGTACTTACCCGTTAGAGAAGTATTAGCGTTATAATCGAATTTCGCGCACTTTGACCTTAATAACAGCATTATTATTACGAAATTTACGAAACATTATTATTTTTATTTTCCGAGATAAATTAACCAATCGGCATTTTTAGTCGAAACTGGATATGTAAGGCTATTTTACTGTTTATTGAAATTTCCGAGTCCGGAGGAAAGCAGACTACACTTGTCGTTCGTCGGTCACCAGATTTACGGTACTGTACAGTACATCCCCTCTTGCACAGGAAAACTGGAATCCGAGTCACATCTGTCCTCTTTTCGAAGCTGCAGCATCAGTCCCGCGCTGGGTTAACAGGACGCCAATTTCGTAGCCTTTCGATGGGAAAACGACCCTTTTCATTTGCAGTCGTCGTAGGCAATTCGTATTTTGCAGCGATTTTTACTTGCTCGGAACGGAGTTTAACACTGCTTAAAACCAAGGTTATGACCTCATCCTATTTTCGATATGCGCCCGACAAATCTTTAAAGGGAACCGAAGAAAATTGCTAAACCTTGGGCGGGAAAGTCAATTCCTTTTCATTTTATCGTGATGGTCTCTAGACAAAGGAGAAATCGAGTGAATCTTTCGTTTGGAAGAAATTCTTCCGAATGAGGTTTCGTCTCTGGCCGAATGACAACCGGTGGAATTGGTGTTTTCATGCGCCAGACTGACCGCGGCCATTTCCGAACTGTCCACGGCAGACAGAGCGATTCCCAGTTGTCCGGCGTAGTAGGCCACCATTATGACGGTGCCGGCATGAGGTACGGGCGTGTAAAACATGGTTATCCCGATGAGAGAATCCGACAGGGCGAACAGAATGCCTCCTCCACAGGAACACAGCTTGGTCCACGTCCATAAATCTTCGAAGAGCTGTACTCGTGCCACGGCTCTCCACACCATCAACATTAATAAATATATATAAACGGGTACCAGTACTGAGTATAAACCTAATGAAAAGAAAAATAACTTTTTGTAATATTCAAAAACCGTCGCATTAGTATGGGCTGGTCCGTTTTAACTTTTATTACGGAAAATAAATACTTTAAAATAAAAATTGGGCATAATTGATATTCTCATCGCATACTAATACGTTATACTCGTAAAATGCTTGGAGGCCATTAGGCTCACTCCACGGATGTAAAAAGAATGATGAAACCCCAAGTCCGATTTGTATATTCTGGTCGTGCCGAGATCGCTGTTTGATTGTTTTCTGTTAGATTTCCATGGCCATTTATGCACTGTAATAAGAGCTCCAATATATAAATATTTAAGTGCATTCATCGTTTTATAATATTTTTTCAAATTCATTAATGGTTCTTAGCTACGTTTCTTGGAAATAATTATGCTCTAGACCAGGGGTCACCAAAACTTTAACAGCGGGCCCGATAACTGAGAATGATGAGCAAGGGCCGCATAACCATTTTGTTCAATACAGTATACTGAATACACAAAAAATAAAGACAATCAACATATTTATTTACAAATACACAAACACAATCGCTGCAGCAAGCTCTTAATAATTTTTCTTAGAAACGTCATTACACAAAAAGCGCTCTGATATCCAAAGTCGCAAAACGGCGCCGAATTTTTCATTTCACTGATTTTCCTAAAAATTGTATTACTGTCAAATGCAAAAATCAGATTGGACCAATTTTGGCAATTTTACTTACACTTATTTTAATTTTTCCATATAGTAAGTTCATCTACAATATGATATTTCCATATAAATAATTATGTTTTAGCTCATTTATGGCCCAGTGCAGTGGCAGGCCAGATCTGGCCCGTGGGCCGTAGTTTGGTGACCCCTGCTATAGACAGTATGTATTATATGTAGTATATATAGATTTTTTGATAGGCCTATATAGTAACTTATTTATTTATAATGATTTTATAAATAATTCATTTAACCTAGAAACAGATCCTGCTAGCAGTAAGGTTACTTAATTAATTAAAATAAGTAGCCCGGAAGTAATATTAAAAAAAATCGCTACTAGATTAAAATAAATGTTTATTGCAAAACTCATTGCAAGTGGGATATTATCCTGTTGCTTTTAGTTGTTCGTTTGGATGCGATACCCATTTTCTGCACTCTTGTAAATGTGAGACACGAGCGATACTTGAGTTCACGTGTCAAAAATTTAATAAGTGTCAAATCACGGAATCGAGCTTCGATTCTAACGCTTGTGAAAACTGGAAGAAAATCCTTAATAAAATCAGAAAAAATAAAATTATTAATCGAGAGAAAAAGATTTTAATAACCTTAAAAGGAGACTGACCTAGCCTGGAGATTGTGTGTCAGACTTACAAGAATTCAAAACAACTAAATAAAAGCAGAAGTTTCAAGATGAGATTAATTTCCCTTGATCGAATAAAACACTGTCAAATTTGACCATTCAGAGCCCAAAATGGTCTGTTATCTACCTGAATACAAGAAACTGACCAATTGGAAAGCTAGAGATCCAGAGAAAGAATCCTTTCAAAACCTGGATCTCAAGGACAAGAGAACACTTTCCTGCCTCTGCCTGGTCTTCCTTGTTACATATGGACTCTTCATCCCTAACATCACCACCCTGCCTTGGACTGTTCTAGTTTTCAACACTTCATCATTGAACTTCCTGACACCCATAGAAGCATCTCGACTGACTGCCCCGGGGCCATCAACTCTATGGTCTAGCTCCAACAGTTGATGAGATGCACTATAGATTGTAAGATTTAGCATAAATAAACAGGTTTATTTGTCACTGCAACTATGTACCTCACTTTCCTTCATTTCACATCCAGTAAATCCTGACATTTGGTTATCCTCAATTTGCAACCTCACACTGGTGTCAGAAATGGGATTTTTACAATTTGGCAGTACCACCAAAAAGTAGAGGAAGTCAATATCGAAATTTTCTAAATTGATTTAGAAAACAAAGTGGAACTGAACAATGGATGCTGCGGCAGGTACTGTGGTATGATCGCATGATGCAATTGGCTTGCTCCGTGCTTTTTCAGCTTTTGGAAATGATACCGACTTTCTCAGGAGAAAGTGGACGCATCTTGGATTTCTATGACACCTTGGAAGAAATTTTGAGTTTGGCAGGTTTCTTGCCTGATAAATTTCCTGCTTAATTTCTTGCCTGACTGCAGGCAAGAAATTTTGAATTTGGTCAAAAAAAATTTCGAGTTTGGTAATGCTTAAGTATTGCAAAATGCAAACTCACAGGAATACCTAGAGTTTGTTTGGCAGGACCTTAGGATAAAGGCAGTTGAAGATTACGCAAATTTTAATTGCGTGATTATTGAGAGGTTCAATCAAGAGCCATATTCTATTTGGATACAGAAGTTTCATGCATGCACCCAAAAATGCAATGAGACAGTGCAAGAATTTGCTGTTTACAACTGTTGGCAGACAGAACCAAGATTGAACAGACTGACAATACAGATCAGGAAAGTGCGATTATGAGGAGGTATCAACAAAAAGAATTGGATGAGAAACTTTGTGTTCAGTTCTTGCATGGCCTAAATGAATGCATAAAACAAAATGTGATGTCGCACAACCCTGCTACATTTTCAGAAGTGCTACAGATCGCTATTACGGAAGAGACATTACAGCACTTAACAGGAAAGACACTCAACATTATTGCAAGCGTAAGAGAGACAGGAGTCTCACCCAACAAGGTCCAATAGGGAAAAGTCTCACCAAAATCACACTCTCGAAGCAAAAATAAACAAAATTACTCAGTAATTAGAGATATTACATGAAAATTTAGGAAGTAAAACCACCTCTGGATTACCAAATAGTCCTAGGAGAGATGAAATGATGCAATTTAAGCATACACTGCATAGGGTAGAAAGTGCAAATCTCAGTATAGGAAATTATTGTCCCTATCAGAATTTGCAGCACTCTCTACCCCATCCAAATCACCTGTGATTACCACCGATTGCTAGACAAAGGCAACCCCTTCAGAGATATCCCTATAATAGATGTAATCAGTTTCTTTTTGGTCGGGAAACAGAAGTGAGCCGAAAAGGTATTTCCTCCCAGATCCAGCTTAGATAGGAAATAGCTACTACACAGGATTATTAACCGAGTGGTGAGGAGTAAATGTTGTTCCTCCACCATTTAGAGAGGAAATAGGTTCAAGAACAAATGCCCTTGAATGACAGGTCCCAATTGTAAGTCCATTGGTTTCACCATGATATAATTGCCCAGAAGATACCATTTTATCAAGCATGTTATGGTCCATGTGGACACGCAACTGGTCAGAATATGAAACAGTTAAATCATCATGATTACATAGCATTACAAAAAATTCGGTCATTAATTAATTAAGGGGGTTGAAAAATTCTTTTTTTTTTTGGATGTTTCTGTCCTCAAATTTTTTCAGAAGTTTTTACCTTAAGAACAAAGATACAAGAACATTTCTCTGACATCCAGCACACTAGAACTTGCCCTCTCTACCTATGCGGCAGATCCTGAAATTGTGGCAGATTTCTCTCAAGACAATCTCATCCTTACCCCATGCCACATAGAAAATACCTCAGATGGTTAGAGGCAATAGAAATCATTAAAGCTAATTTTACATCATCGTGTGTAAATTTTAAGGAGAAAATGATATTGTCATTGGCCTAGCAGGCTCTACTTGACACCACAATTTAGTCCTTTAGTTGAATCTCTGTTAATACAGGACTGTGCATGTGTAACTTTAAAAAATTTTTTGAATTTTTTGTACTCGTACTTCCGATACTTGTTCAAAATTATATTTATTTCAAAAAAGCTTTTATGTTTTTAGTGATGTTCCATCTGGTAACCATTATAGCATCTGAAGAACTCAGAAGGAGTTTGAAAATATTTACAATAGTTTTATTGTTTTTATTTCACACCAGCTATCAGTCCTGTGTACATTGTTAAGTTAATAAATTATAATAATAATAGATAATAAATTAATAAAAAAAAATATTATGCCAAATGACTACCAAATTAAATCAGGCTACTTTACCACTATTGTTTTTTAATTAAATTCTAAATAATTTAATACTGGAGGTAGGCATTAGACACCATCTCTTATTAAATTTAATAATTATAATTAAATTAATATTTAGTAAATAATTTAAAATATTCTGAAAGAAAAGAATCAGCATAGAGCAAGATTCAAACCCACAACTCCCGCTTACCATGTGGATGCACTGCCAGTTATGCTACCTAGACCTCCGTTCCAATCGTCCCTTCCAGACATTTATTTTTGATATAACTATCCTTGGTTACTTACGGCACCGATTGAGAGTGCCTTCAGTATTCATATCCAATAATCACCTACTGCATTGTTTGCCATCACTTAACCCCAGCATGGTGTATAAGTGATTATTGCCACAGTAGGTAATTATTGAATGTGGGCGCTGAAGGCATCCTCAATCGATGCCATAAGTAACTGAGGATGGTTATATCAAAAATAAATGTCTGGAAGGGAATATCAAAATGTAGGTCTGGATAGCATAACTGGCAGTGCATATGCATGGTAAGTGGGAGTTGTGGGTTCGAGTCTTGCTCTGGGCTGATTCTTTTCTTCCAGGATATTTTAAATTATTTACTAAATATTAATTTAATTACAGTTATTAAATTTAATAAGAGATGGTGCCTAGTGCCTACCTCCAGTATCAAATTACAGTAGAGCCTTGATTATCCAAATACCAATCAACTGAAATATTAACTAAAAGTGTTCCAGTTGGCAAATTCAAATTTCCACTAGTGCTTTGGTGCTGCAGCATTCTCTCCCTCCCTGCCAACCTAAACTGTAGGCCTACTTTAATGTACTACTTAAGATATGTATTTATAAGACTGTGATACAAAATATATACAGTACAGTTTTGTGTTTAATATATTTTTCGTAAATATGATCAGTTATGCAAAAAATCTAAACTGTTTAATTAATTTAATTAATTAAATTAAGATGAAATAATTTAT